TACAACAACAATTGTAATTTTTTATGTTACGTTGTAATTACTTCTTAGATATAAATTATCCTTTTGATAATCATATAGCAAAAACAAAACTTAACACTCTTTGATTATTATTGAATCAGTCTTATCCACATCTAGTCATCTATACAAAATATCTAAATTAAGTTTTCGGTTTAAGATTTAACTCACTAATCATCTTCTTCGTCAGTACTATCTGTATTGTTATCATTCCCTAACCATGTTTGCTCATACGGTAATCCTCGGAAAAATGAATGAAATTCATCAGGGATTATTTTTGAGATGCACATAGACACTAAGTCTTTGTATTTATCATATTTAACTTTAATGGGAGTCGTATTGCCAAGTTGAACTTCTGGATCCGGTATTATTTTCTTTCCTCTTCTACTTTTTTTTAATGTTGTTGTTCATATTCTTCATTATGATCATATTTATATTTTATTACATTAAAATTTTCTTTAGTAATATGCACTTCTTTAATCTTACTCCATATTACTTTTTCTCTGTCATCATTTTTAGACTATTTTTTCCCATAAAGTAAAGACTCTGTATGCTTCGCCTTTAGTTTTCGCCCATTTGATTAGATTTACCCATTGGTAGGGAGTATATATAGTCTTCCTATTTGAAGCTCCTTCTATAACTAAATGGACACTGTCCCCTTCATTTTGTGTGTGCCCAACTTCAAAGAAGCGGTGGGTTATACTTTCTATATCAAACTTTATAGCTATTAACGGGATTGTTACCATGTACCTTGTTTTTTATGAGTCTCCGATATTTCGGCACTGTTGCAAGCGCCATGATCACGGAGTAACTGAAGTAATTGCGGGTAGATGTTATTGGCAGATATATCGGTCTACCCTCTGACGTCGTCTTTTACTGCGCTCGATACCCCTACCATTGGTCACATTCTCACTATTCATCCTCAAGAACCTCTGGTCCTTCTAAAATATTTTTTGGTGATGATGGTATTCAATTTTGTCTTTGTACTTCTACCCTTTTCTCTTGAGCTATAATCTCCTCAGCAATAGGTAATTCTACAACATTTTTTAATGGTGATAATTGTACATCGTTACTTTTTTCTTGCACTTTGTCTTTTTCTTTATTTTTATGTTTTCTTTCTTCTTCTATAGTAACAAAAAGGTCTAGCAAATCACCACTATTGTTTAATTCTAAAACTTCTTCTGCTTCAACATGCAATAAGAACTTGATCTCTTGTTCACAACCCGAAGGCACTGGAGAATCAATACAATTACTTATATCGATGGTAACATCTGTAAGAACAAAAGTAAATTAATACAATCCTAAACAATCATACAAAATGAAAAATGGTGTTAGGAACCTAAACATGATTTTCGATTATCTAGACAGTGATACCCCACTCGATATATTTCGTCAACTTATTTTTTTTACTTCGTCACAATATGGCGCCTAATTTTGTCCATATTGAATTTTGATTACTATCATATCTTTAGTAGCACTCCCATGATTGAGACGAATCGATTGATGTATGAATCATCGAAATCGGTCCAGGCGTTTGGTCTCTAGTGTGCCACAAAGGAACAAACATACATATATAGACTGTTAAACACATAACCCTGTCTGCGCGTCGCGCTTCGCGCTCTTGCATTGCGCAGCCGGGTAAAAAGAAAAGCGGCGACAAAATTCTATGGTACAAAAAAATTGTAGCATTGATAAAATTATAAACGTACTTTTAAAACAGGACTATAACATAATTGAGTGTTTAAGACGGCTATCTTGTGTTAAGTAGAATAAATAAAAGTGCTTCTAAACGGGGAATGTTATTCAAATAATATGCAATAATAATAAATGTCTTTAAATAACTAAGTAAGTTTTCTTTTGAGTGTACCACAACTGCCAAAACACGATTCTGCCCAATCCAGCTTCTGCCTTATCAAGTTTCTGTCCTATAGCGAATCTGCCGAACGACGCGCGAAGGATTTTAAAGTCTTTTGCGGTGTAGGATATTCGCAAATGTATGAATTTTGCCTCGAATTATGAAATGAAGGTACGAAACCACCTTTATAGACTTTATATTACTTTGTTGAAAAGACGTGTATTTATTTAATAAATAAGATGAAAACGCATTGTAATCTGACATGCCTTTCGTTAAGTATTTAAAAGATAGCAACTAACCTAATTTATGTAACCAAAACACATTAATTAGGTCAAAACAAATATTTTGAAGTAGAATAAAGGCACTAACGCCATTACGGCTTCTTCTTTTCCATACATTCGTATTTTTACAATTCCGCAGAAAAAAGCCCCAATCAACACAAGGGCCTTGTTCTGTGTTTTACAAGTATTATAACTACATAAACTAAAAGCATCTCATTATTAGGTTAATACCTAAGAAACTATAGTACGCACGATAAATGCACTCACAATCGCGGTCCGCGGAATACTGATCGAGCGGCGCTCGCGCCTCCCGTCCGCCCAGCACGCACACAGTTTCAGTCCTAAAAGATGGCTGTAACGGCAGTAGAGTCTATATTTTAGGTATTTTTTCCCCGCCATGAAATTGTGGCTTTACAATTAATTGAAATATCAAGAAAACTTTTAAACTTTATTATACAGTTATTAGACTAAAAGATGCCTAAATTAATGTAGAATGTAAAAAAGAAATAAAAGAAAAAAGACCGTATGATCATAGGGGCAGTTTTCGTGGGATACGACGATATATAGATAAGTTTGTAGATAAACTATTCAGGATTGATTTAGGACATAAATGAAGCCTGGATGTTCAGAAGAATTCCAATAATAAGAGGAAAGTTGGCCGGAAATTTTTTTGATTTTCCGGCCGTGAACAACATAGTAGATGGCTACACAGCTGCGGTGATAGTGTCCAATACTTAACTGATGCCCGGACATAGACACGGTTTGAAGTCTTGCCGAGACCCAGGTAGGAATGGTCTCGTTAACAACTTACTAGCTCACTTATTATAAACACATAACTATGTATCGAATCTCAGTACAAATATCAGCTAAACAAATTCATCTAAACAATTTAAATGGCCAAAATGAAAATAACCATAGCATAACGACCATTCGCTTGTAGTACACTCCAGTTCCTTAGCATCAATAAAAAAGCTAATATTCCGATTTTATTAGCATAAAAAAGGAGTTGAACGAACAAAATTGTAACTACACTTACCTGGCAGCACTTACAAACAGTGGCTCCATCAACGAAATCCAAGTAAACAGAAAACAATAACAGTGAGGAATATCTCAGGAGTTCCGCTCCCTCCCATCTCCTCGCACCGCACCCCCCCCCCCCAAATGGGGGAATAAGAAAATTGAAAGCAATATGTATGCTACCTATGTGTAGGTATGTAGATATAGAATGTTTACATTAGCTGCCGCGCCGAGCACGAATACATATGGATAGATGGATTGACGAACAGCAATATGGATTTTAGATACTACTTTTTTGTATTCGTCGTGGTATTATCTTGAGATTAATTAAATTTTCTTACTATAGGTACGTATAAAATTTTAATCTCCTATATTTAGTGATAAGGTTTAATAATAAAATTGAATAGACTCCTTCTGGGAAGCTCGCTGCACGGTTGATCCCATCTTTGCTCTCGGGCCGGCTAGACGATTAAGAGCTTACCCATTAACAAATAAGATAACGTTTTACATTATTATCCTTTTCTTTCTCATTAGCTATGTAAAATTAAGAATCCTACTAGTTGTCTATAATGAATTATACCGCTAAAATTACCTTACACATTTAATATTGCGAGTTCTTGAAGAACGAATGTGTTCGTCACATTTGTACACGTGCGTTCGCTTCCGATACTTTCCCTACCTAAGAAACTTTTAATAATAATGTACGGAATAAAATATCGAGAATACTTTGAAATTTGATACAATAAATATAAATCCTTATCTTTAATAACCCAGATTTATAAGTACTCTGAAACAGAACAGTAAAATTTGACTTCTTAATAGTCATGACAGTCTGTGTGATGAAATTTTTGCGCCACATTTTTGGTTTTGAGCCAATGAGTGTCAATATTGTTTCATAAAACCCTAAATAGTCAATAGGTACTGCTAGATACTAATCAATACTTTAAGGCATCTTCTTCTCTTAACAACACCATTAGCACGAATAATATCGAATTCGAATAGTTTGCGAGTGCGAAATGTCATTGTCAAATTTTGAATGGAAACTTGAACAGCAGTGCCACAACGAACGTAACGAGAAGTAAAGTCAGTTGACACGTTTGACGTATATCGAGATCGAATTCAGATTCAGATTGATACACGTTAAATGTCAAGAAGTTTTGCATTAAAGATTTTTTACTATCGTTGCATTTGTGGTGACGCTATTTAAATTTTCATACAAAATTTATTGACATTGGATGCGAATAGTTTCAATTCAACTTTTCGAATTCGATATTGGTACGTGCTGAGGGTACTAACCCGCTACTGAGCTCGCCGTTTTCACTAACCTTTCATCAAAACATCTCGTCATTAGATAGTCAACTTTCCTTTTTTATCTAAACTACTAAAATACATTTTTCTTCTCAATAAAAAAATATAACTATCATAATGTAGCCCACAGCGTAGTCCCATCTATTCCTACCTCTGCATCATCTAGCTTCACAAACGCGATCCTCAATCTTTACAATAGGGATGATTACTAACTTGTTTTTCTTCATCTATCAGGTAGATTACCAAAAAATAATGCACAAATATTTTTCTTGTTTTACATAATCAAAACATTACGGAAATATATCTATTTGTAATGTCGCATGACGTCACGAGCGCCCTCTCCTAAACTTTGACGCGCTTTATCTTTGAAATTATTTGGTTGATTGACAAAAGAAAAATATGAGTAAAATTCTTTTAATAATCAAACTGACAGACTTAGTAGAACTTCGTTTACCTTACACCGCTATCATCCTAATTCTGTTCCTGCTGCACTAGATTAATAGTATGATTTATTCTTGTCCGTAGTGCCAATGACGCAAGTGGTGGCAGTGGCGGGCGAGCCGGTGTACCTACCGTGCGATATCTCGACGCAGGATGAAGATGACGCCGTACTTCTGGTCCTGTGGTACAGGGAGGACTTGGGCACACCCATTTACAGGTAAGTTTATTTGCAATATCAAAGCTATTACTGGTGCCCTTGCCTTTTTTTTAACGGTGAGAATGCGTTTAAGCGCCGTCCCCGCCCACTGGGCTAGTGAGCGGGGGTGTGTGGGACTCTCCCGACTAAAGAGATAGCCGGGAGTACTCCACTAAATTCCCCGGGAACTTTGCCTCGCCATAATTGAGCGAGCCATGAGCATGCGCAGGGCGCTGGCTCGTGTAGGCCTACTCGGCGGTGCCCGCACAGAAGTCTGCGCGGGCTCATGTCCGTGCCAGAGGCATGGGGTATCCACGTTCCGACGGACACCCCACCGTCGCAGGGGTCTGTACAACGCGGGCTACCTACACATAGTCTGTATTTTTGTTGTCATTATAGTAACAACCATTCAAATAAAATACATTAAAAAGTGAAACGGGGCCCAAGAAGACGTGAAAAAAATATTGGATTGATCTTCACAATTATTGTACCAATTATTTCAAAAATTGTATAGGTATATATTTTTTTAGAAAGTAATCACTTGCATGGGAGTACGCTAACCGACCAATAATAGACTTACAATGATGAATTTAATCATTTTTTGAAAACATTAAAACTATTTTTTAAAGCATGTAACTGCTTGATGTTTAAATATAAAGAAAATATAACTAGAAAAAAAAAATTGGGTGCGGGTTCGAGTCCCGTCTGCTGCTTGGTCCGCGTGGAATTTTTTCTAGTTATATTTTCTTAACATTAAAACTGTTGTGTTATGGTCCGAATAATAATAAACACTTTAGGGACTCCACTTAAGGTTTGACTTATGGAGTCCACTTCTTGATATGACTGCCTCTGCATACGACCATATTGGGTTTAGACTACTTTTGCTCTATAGCTGCAAAATAATGATGAAAAAGAACGAAAAAAAGAAGAAAATAATGGAAAGAGGAACCTCTTTCCATTATTTTCTTTTATTTTGTATTAAATACTATATTTATCTTTGCTACTTAGAAATAAGATCAATTGACTAATATCGATTGTCATGTAAGAGTTAACTAGACCCGATCCTGAATTCCCAATAGAACACTTAAGATTTAATACGGAAACCCAATGAGAATTCTCGTCATCGTCGGGACGCTTATTGGCAATATTCTGTAAACACTACTCGAACTATAAGCGGGCTTGAGAATATATGCCTTGGTTTGGTGCAATTGAAAAGAGAATTTGTCTTTTAAATGCCAAATATTACCTACACGTTGGAATCAGAAAAGGATTGGTAGAATTATGTGTTTAAATTACCTGTATTTCTCTAAATGCCTACAAAAGTGTAATACCCTTTTAGAGCTCAAAAAGACCATAAAAACTTAGTAGGCAACGTGAAACTGCTGGGGCGGCTTTACCTATAGTGCAGGGTGTACATTGCACACGGGCGCAGTAGTCTCAAAAGCACCCCCTCAGATTCGAATGGTCTAGAGGAGGAGACTCCCCCCGTGGGGAGATGCCATTCGCCTGGAATACCTCTAGAGGCACTCGCCAATTCTCGGCTTGATCCTAAGGGGACCTCCCTTAGGATCTCGCCGGCCCCAAACCCAGTAACACTGTAAAGATCATCTGCTACCAACAGCATACACAGTAAAAAAAAAGTCTCAAAAAATCGCACAGCGTCACTCGCCACCATTACATTTTGACCGCGCGCTTATTACAGGCCGCTAGGTCAATGATTGCACACGAGCGCTACATAGCCTAGGGACGCTTCTGGGCAACTCTGAGGCGCCAATAGTATCGCAAGCATCTTTATAGTTTATGGCAACTGCTTACCATCAATAAGGTACTAGCTAAAAAGCATTTGACAACTGCCTGGTCAAATGCTTGTAAGCTAGAACCTCATTATTAAAAAGGGAAAAATATAATCAGATAAAAACGCTCCTTCAAACAATTTATTTTGCGTCTGAAAAGGACGAAAAAGTTAAAAACATATCAATCGTAAGATAAATTTAGTTTGCAATGCACGATGAGCGATTCATCGCCTTCGTTCACGAATTAATGAATACTCACGTGTCGCTAGTAAATTGGACCATACCTTACTTTAAAGGAGTTCCAAGAACACTACGGACAAGACAACTTGAAAGTCGGAGGAGTTTAAATTCAATTATATTGTTTAAATTTACATATTTGGTATTAGCAGAATGGTATAATATTTAATATTATAGGAAACGCGAATCGAATATATCACTCACTTTCTGCTTAGTTTAGACAGACATTTAGCAACTTAAGGCAACAGAGCGAGTGATGTTTTTAGTATCGCAAGCGCCTTTTACCACCAGCCGGGCCCATTCGCTTGTTTGCCACACTTTCCACATTAACCAATTAAATAACTAGTGACACGCATTAAATAAAATGATCTGATTCACTTTGCCTTGAACTAACATAGGTGAATTTTAATAAGAACAAAAGTTAATCTGTGTCTCCAGGGCTTAAAGAGAATTCTGCGCTATAACTGAGATTTAAAGATATAGGTATTCGAGAATCAAAAGTTACTGTAGTAGTATCAAATTACATTGTAAAGAACATTTATAAATTATACCTATATGGTGTAGAAAAGTAACGTAAAAAAGCAGCCGGGTGTACGTTTACCAAGTCTAAACTTTGATGATTGTAGTTAGACTGTGAACTTTGATTGAGTATATAATGTCTTCTTTAACAACGCCAATAAATAATGGCGCCTAAAAGTAACCAGACGCGTGTAATACATTATTAATCTTTATGTTTATACTAAAGTCGGAAATTTATGGAAAAGTTCACTTAAACTTCAAAGCTGTTAAGAAATTTCACTCAGTACCGCGAATTGATGTAAACGTTATTCTCTTACATGGACATGAAGTTCGGCAGAACCTACCGTATATTCGTAAGTTTTAATGGTGCTTAAATAAATAAATATTTCCAACACTCACACCAATTAGCTTAGCCCCAAAGTAAGCACTGTAGGCTTGTGTTATGGGATACTAGGGTAACGGATAGACTACATATAATGTACATATATAAGTATATTTATATAGAAATACATATTAAACATCCATGACTGGAGTACAAATGCTCCTATTCATCACACAAACATCTGCCCCCACCGGGGTTTGAACCCGGGACCTCTCGAGTCGGCGACACCATGAAACCCGGAGTACAAACCACTCGGCCACGGAGGTCGTCACGGAGGTTCATGGATCGTAGGCGTCTGTTTGCCATAAAATTTGAAATAAGAGAAAAGTGCAAATATGATATTTTGAAACGATATCACTATCAGCCCTCACTGCTGAGGCACATCACACACGCCAAGAGCCCAAAGTGGGTTCATTATCATAATCAGCCAATGGACGTCCACTGCTGGACAAAGGCCTTTTCTAGGGATCTCCAAACACAACGATCCTGAGCTTTCCGTGGATGGTTTCCATCTAGTGGGTCCCCCCGACTCTCTTAATGTCGTCAGTCCACCTGGTAAGGGGTCTACCGACTCTGTGCTTCCCTGGGCAAGGTCCCCATTGAAGCACCTTAGGACCCCAAACGTGCATCGGTTCGCCGAACAAACTGTCCCGCCCATTGCCACTTCAGCATGGCAATCCGTTTAGTTATGTCGGTTACTCGAATTCTTCTACGGATTTTCTCATGTCTGATTCAATCGCGTAGAGAAACACCGAGCATAGCTCTCTCCATCGCTCGCTGCGCGACTCCGAGCCTTCTTATCAAAGAAGGTTGGTAGTAACTCATGTCTGTAGATGCAGCTTGGACCAACGATTTAACGTGCCTTCCGAAACACGGAGCAATACATTTTTAGTCACCCATGCTATGATCGCTTAATGCAAACGTTGCCATCCTTTTCGAGACCAAAAGGCTCCTCGAGTGTCTATGTTCGTGCCTAGTATAATGTACAGAGTAGTGCTCAAGAACGGCTTTTAATCATAACATCATTGTAGTTTTACTAAAATTAAATAAAAATTTAAAAAATACGACTGGCGTTAAAAAATGAATTAATGCTATATTAATTTTACATATTTGATGTGGTCTCATTAAGACCTTTGAAATGATACCTATATTGTAATAATTAGAATATTTAATTGATATGAATAAGATATTTTGACATTACTGTTATTTCAATTTTAACAGCTTAGGTATCCTGTATTACCTGGGATGGTGAAATGATTCTAGAGATACCACAAACATTTAATCGGTTCAGGCATTTAGAAATTAAGGTGCAATAAAGAATAGTGAATACATACTTACATGAACCCTGAATACATTACACTCTTTTTTTTGGGCAGTTGTGTAAAAATGGTACTGAAACAGGGACTTTTTACAACTGGCATGATTCTAATTTTATTTTTTTCTGCAGCGTTGATGCCAGGGAGCGGGACTTCGGAGTCGCGGAACGGTGGTCGCTCGAGAGTGTCTTCGCATCCAGAGCGTACTTCCTTCCCGAGAGGAGGCCCGCAGAGCTCGGCGTGGACCGAGTGAAGGCCTCAGACCAGGGCATCTACAGGTGTAGAGTGGACTTCAAGCAAGCCCAAACTAGAAACTCGAGGGTTAACCTCACAGTAATAGGTAAGGCTTCAAGAAAATAATGTACTCCTTGGTGCTTTTCTTATATGTTTATTGCATTAGGTATGATATGAATGTGTGACAGACGAATCCATGTCAACTGTGACATGCGGTTTATTCAGCAACACGTTTTCAATCATAAGCATATGGTTTGTTGTAAGCATGTGTCTTTACACTACTGCGATGCCTCGATTATTTAATAGAATTTCTGACGGATGTGGTGTTGCAGAAATCCAATGCTAAAGGTGTCTCAACATAAAGTGCTCATTTCTGTTCTATCATTAAAAAAAACCGGTGCGAACGATTCACATTTGCTAACCGTTTACTTTCCCAAACCACCTTCTTAATTTTAGTATTTGTTCAATTTTAATCGTTTGCAGGTTGATATGAAATTGCCATCTAAAATGAATTAAGTGAGACAATGGTGTCGATTCTGGCATGATTCTCTAAACCTAAAGCTAAATTAGACAACAGTGCTTCCTAGTCATTCTCTATACAGGATGAAAAGGAGAGACTGATTTTAAATTTAGTTTTAAGTTTAGAGTATCATGTCAGAATCGACACCATTGATAACATCTCATCAAATCTCATCAAATTAAATATTTGTGAAAGGAGACTTATTTTTAATAAGTGCAATCGATAATTAATTTGTTAAACTAGTTTGTTATACTTGTAACTCAGCACAGTCAAATTGATTTTCGATAATTGATATTAATCAGCACAAGACTGGAAACCGGTATTGATAATTCAATTAAACCGTTAAACCTCAGGTTTCAAAGTCAAGATAATTCAGTTTGACAATTACGCTAATTTCCTTTCGGTGTAGGAGCACTTATCGACCTGTTATCCTCTCCGAACACACAAAACACAAAAACGAAGTTAATCTAGGATATTTCAATAGTTTTTAAAGCTGCGCTAAGGAGTTAAATGTCCTCTAAAAACAAATGCAGCTATTTCTAAATACCAGGCGAGTTACATACAAAAGGAAGAGGTGTATCTGTCGTATATCAGGACGTCTAGGAGAATACGCTCTCGCTGAATAAGATTATTCAGAGAGCACAAAGTGTATGACTCTTGGACCGAATACAAAGGCTGGTTATTGCAACATACGGCGCTCTATACAGTGCAAATACACTAAATATGTCAAGGGGCACGCTTTTGAATTTCTCTCTCGTTTTCAGTAAGCTCAGTGCGAATGTGAAAGACGTGGGTCCATGTTTTTGGCGTTAGGTTTTAAGAGGCCATTTTTGTGCGCTGGAAATTCTGGGCGCTTTCTACAAAATGTAGAGGAGCGAGAATATATAAAGCTATTTAAAAATACAGTGCCAAATCTGAATAGTTGTATAAAGGTATTTTATACCGGTTAAAAGGAGTGTTGTTATAAATGTAACAAAAGAAAACTTTCAGATATTTTAGTATATAACTGACGTTCTCTGGGCCAGCAACGATTAAGTTTGATTTGTTATTACTTTACTGGTGATTTAGAATCTATGATATTTTAGCATTTGCACATTTCCCAAAAACTTTCAAATTGAAAGATTTATTGAAAAGTTTAAGGCTAAACAAAGGCAACTTTCCAATTTTTCCGGCTTTGGTATAAATCCGTGGAGGGTGTTAACTTGTCGAATTAAATTGATTCACTTATACCCACTTCAGAACTGTCCACTTAGCTTAAGAACTCAAAACTTTTATGAGTTTCGAATGATTAGAAATACTATATAATAACCAACTTCATAACTATTGAAATCAAGATCAGCTGTTTGAGCTCAAGGAAATATCGGATTTTCTTAAAACTAGGGCTTTTCTTTGTATCCTAAATCGAAAAATAAACTTTTGGAGGCTGTTCATTCGCTAGTCCATTACTTACTGGCTAAAGTTCATTTTTTTTGTTATATAGTAACGAGGTAATTGTTTTGTAGTCGGGCAATAACTAGCCACTATCACACACAATCTGTACTCTGATTCAAGTGCAATTTTTTACATATTTATTTGAAATATGTTGATTGCAATAAAATTTATTTTATTAGAAAGACATTCTTGAAAATCCTGAAAGTTAACGTAGTGGTTAAAAAATAGTACTTCCGTAAAAGGTACAAAAGAGGATGAACCTTTTCGAAAGTACCTGACCGTGTTACTGTCACGAGAAAAGAGCGGAGTGGAGAGAGAGATCAAAAAATTTTCCACTTAATTTGACGCCCGTCGTTATACTGATCACAGTGGTAATAAGAAATCCCGGCCCTATCAGGCTTGTTGGTAATGAGCCGCCGATATAATTTCATGGTCCTTGTTCCTGGATGGCCTTCCCGAAATTAGCCTTCCATCATAAGTTTAGCGATCCAATTTCGTGGAAACCATTCTTTTTGGTTATATAAATTGGCTTTTCTTTTGTGATTCGCGGAGTCGTGCTAAAGGTTCTGAGCATAATGCTGTCAAACGAAAGTGAGAGGGTTATCGCGCAGTGTGATCATGAGAAGCATAAAAGTCTTTATGAGAGTTGAAATGTTTTATAAATTTATTATTTTACGCAAGAATCGGAATTATAATCATGAGTAGGTAATGGAAATTTAAGATCCTCTAAAATGTGAGTTAGTGGTGTTAATAATATTATTATTGTTTCTGTTGTTCACAGTGCCTCCTAGTAAAATGGTAATCATTGATGATAAGGGTGATGTCAAACAAGCCATAGTTGGACCTTACATAGAAGGTGATACATTCACGCTCAAATGTGATGTCTCTGGGGGTAAGTAACATAACGTATATTAAACCTATAACTTCGTTATACTCTTGTAGGTCTGTGCCTTATTATCTGAAAATTTTAACTTTCATGTTGTTGTCATTCTGAAAAAAAAAATACCTGAAAAGGATAAAGCTTTTGACAATGAAAATTTTCAGGTGCGTACAAAATTAGGAATCACATAAATTGTGCGCCCATTAATATGTCAAACCTTCCCCGAAAACGGAAACGATTTCATAAAGTCTAATGATAACGTCAGAAATTAACCCTTTAACCACAAATGAATGTGTATATCAAAACCCTCATTAAGCGCGTCTGTAGCATTGACATTCAGGAAAAACTGGACAACCCCTTTTCAACCTGCTACTTTATATTCATAATGGACGTCTGCGAATTATACACAGCGAGAAGGAAATTAATTAATTTTCAACAAGAAGAATTTATTAGCGTTCTTTAATCGCATTGGGTTAGAAGGGGAGCACCTCCATGAATAAGTGGATATTTTAAGAAAACAACCGTATCTAGACGAGTGAATTATTTAATATAGACTAAGGAATCCAATAACCGGAGCGAAAATCATTTTAGACAGAGAGTACTTACAAGTAATAATGTAATAGAAAAACAATTAGATTGTGTTCGAAATTATAGTACCTAGATATAGATAGATAGATATCGGTTGTTGAAGTTAATAAGACACTGTGTTCTTGGGTTTAATCGTGGACGAAAAATTTCGTGGTTGGTGACACTTCAGACCTTCCGGCCACATTTCTAGGACATTGTCAGAAGCTTTTTGTCGGTATATACTCTGTTTGTCGTAATATTAGATGCGTTATTGCGATATCTCGTCATACTTATATTGCGTCGTTATTATCGCAGCAGTATGTAACTATTTAGGCATTTCCATATATAATGTACTAAAACAGATATTGCAATAAAGCATCCTATATTATCAACCGATAACAACGCACCTCTGGGGGCGAGGCCTTCGTTTTCCATCAAATTGATCATAATGTTTAGCTTAACTTAAGTTAAACGATCGCGTAATTGACTGATTACAAGAAATACAATTTCTAAAAATGTGATTTACAGAAGGGGCGTCCTTTGATTTTGTTAGTCCATTCATCCAGCACACTTGTCTACAATAAAATACATACCAACTTGTGCGGTTGGCAGTATATCAAAACCACACAGCTTGAGAGATAAAAATGTCTAATATCTCCTGTCATAGCTACACAACCTCAACGTCGCGATATCGCATGTGTCTCGGTTGAGTTTAATGTCAACATTTGATAGAGCAATAATAAGGGTGATAACGGGGTAAAGTAACCAAATTCTATTTAGTCTTTTGATTTAAGGGAAATTACCCCACCCCACCTGATGTTGAGCGTAAGTGGAGGAGTCCATTAGCGAAGATAAATGATGCTGCAGAAAGTGTTCCATTTCAGCCATCCTAAATTTGTCGGCCTGAACTCAATCCTCTACCCCACGGACCTCTGGAATCCTACTAACCAGTAGAAACATAACACCACCGAAGAGTAGAAGTATTTAACTGTGGTCTTCTGTAAGTTGAATGTTGCTTCAACAGACGGGAGCTTTGATTCGACCGGAAAAACCGCTGTGCCCTACCTCTCTTATTCCATGCATCCTTGTGCTCTCAACACACACACTTTAAATGATTATCTCTGATCTCCAATTTTCATAGGTCGTCCAAGGCCCTGGGTGAAATGGTTCAGGGACGAGGTAGAAGTGGACACTCCAGCCTCCCCGCTGACCGGCAACGGAGTGAGAGGCATCATCAGAGTGGGCCCGTTGACGAGGGCGGACGTGAGAGCTGCTCTTACCTGCCGTGCTTCCAATCACCCCAGGGCGCACCCCATAGAAACCACCCTCACGCTAGATATGAATTGTGAGTATCACCCTTCCTAGTAATACAGTAAATGTAAAAATTTGTTCGTTGCAATGTAGCGAGCAACGCACGAGTAGTAACATTGGTGTTGCAAGTGTTCATGGGCGGCAGTTCACACTTACCATCAGATGGACTGTTTTACCTAAATAAACATAAAAAAATGGGGAATGAGGAGAGGAGTCAAGGGGGAGAGGGGTCGTAGGAACCCCTCGATCTCACCTCACACACACCGCGGTATGTTGAACTAACGTGACATGACGTCACATAACTAGACTGTCGACATAACGTCACATAACGTGACTCGTGAGATGACTTCACAGAACGTGACTCGTGACATGACGTCATATAAAGTGACATGTGACATGACGTCACATTTTTTCGTGCGAGCAGCCAGTGTTCATCGATTTATAAAACGTTATCATGTCAATAACTAAAGTTAACGCAGACAAAGTCGCGGGTGGCTGGTAGTGATTCATATTGGCAGATTACCTAAGTAAGTACCTACCTATAGAATGGTTTTATTCTATGTATGGTAAATGGTTAAAAACACGGAAAAATAATCTTCATAATAATTTATTACTTCCCATGAGCATTGTCATAGACAAACCGTGATTATTTGAATAGGTAATATAAATAATTTGGTCACAAAATTACTAATGCACATACGAAATGTTATACAAGGACTAACTATAATATGGTATGATGTTAGTGTCTTTGGAATCAAGTAAGGCCTTTGAGGTGCCGTGCTACCCGCCGCCTCGCCGCGCCGTCGGGATAAGTCTCTCTTTAACTCGAGTATGGCGGAAGAAATGACGGAACGAGCAAGTTCACAACTTGCAATTATTTTCTTGTGCGAATACTTCTGACTGGCATATAACTTTCTCGGAGAGATTAATTTCAAATGAAGTTTTATTTCGTGTTGTTTACATTTTTAGACAGATTACGTAGCTTGCCTAGCTTCAATAATAAATAATCTGTAAGCATTAGACCTCACGAGCGCGATGGCGCAATTGGTGAGTGCGTTCAGCTGCGATCGTTGAAGTTAAGCAACTTTAGTGGTGGTCAGTCATTGGATGGGTGACCAAAAAATTACATCTAGAGCTCCTCCGTGTTTCGAAGGTACGTTAAGCCGATGCTTCCAGCTGCATCTGCAATCGTTAGCACCCACAAATCCGCACTGGGCCCGCGTGGTGGGTCAAGATCCAATCTCCCTATTCCATCCTTAGGGAAGGCCTGTGCCACAGCAGTAGGGAGATTAAAAGGCTGATGATGAAGATTAAGTATTAGAAATATTGATTGGAGGTGCCTTGATATTTTATTGTTTCAAAATTAAATTGGTGTTACTATGAAACGAAACTAGAATAAGCTTGCCTGGTACTTTGTGGATTTATTGAAACTGTCTGTAAATTTATAGATGTGACTAATAAAGTTTTTTTTGTTTATCATATTTCCGTTGTAGTTCAATTCAATGTCAGCCAACACTCTACATTAAACAATTTTTTTTTCTATGAAAATAAATTTAGTTCAAAATTTAATATTGTTACGATACGGGGTGGGGTTAAGCCAGCCACAAGCCAGTTCACGCTTGACAGTACTTTATTCATCATCACACAGTTAACACATAATGTTAATGAGAATACCCTCACTAAACACTGTAGGTCTCTATATAAGTCTTTAAACAATCGCACTTGAACACTTTACTTGCACTTTGATCGCCTTTATATTCGTTGCGGGCCCAGTGCGAATTGGTGGGCGCTAACGACTGCTTAATATGCCTTCCGCAACCATCGAGATAGTAAATTGTTGGTCACCCATCCAATGACCGACCACGGAGAAAGTTGCTTAACTACAAAGCTGGCAGCCGAACGCGCTAACAACTTGCACCATCGAGCTCCTCGCTGACATGTACTAATGAAATGACATTAGACGCGTATCGAGATTGAATTCAACTATTCGAATTTGATATTTGTTCGTGCCAAGGGTACTTGCACAACTGTACTTCCAGACACTTCTATCGGCTCACTTAGTGTCACAAGTTTCAATAGTCTGTAGCAAAACAAAAAAATAGGTTGAATTAATAATATATTTTTTAAAACACACGAAAAAGATGGTTATCAAATCGGCTTCAAAACAGGGTTAAAACTATTTTGAACAATGTAACATTTATTTTCAGCTAGGGACCAAAAATGCTAGCTAAGGTAGACCGATACACATATATCGGTCAAAAATACTTGTGAAGGTCAAAAAATACGGTGTTGAAAAAATACTTTCGAACATGTGTTCGAAAGTATGAAAAACCATAAAGTTTGAATCACACTTTAACTTTACTTTTTTAATTATTTCATTTTGTCCGCAGTCCCACCGCTAACAGTTCACATACTGGGCTCCAACCAGCCTTTGTCGGCGAGCAGACGGTACGACCTACTCTGCCAGAGCTCAGGGTCACGCCCGCCTGCCTCCATCACCTGGTGGAAGAACGGGCACAGGATAAACAACGCTAAGGAAACGGTGAGATTGTATCTATACTAATATTAAAAGTGTGTCTGTCTGTCACCTCTTCAAGCTTAAACCGCTTAGATGAAAATTTCCATCCTAATAAAGTCTACTGTCCACGTTATCTCTTACGAAGTAGAGGACAGAGTTTATGATTTATGTTATTATAGATTTATCTATGTTACGGCCGCTGATGTCACATTCTTTATAATTAGCAATAGAATGAGACAACACGTGACTTAATGAATCATTCAAAATATTTTCAATTTTTTAAGTATTTACACTGTGAGATCTTTGATTTGTCAACAGTTTTACAAACGTTAAATAATAATTACTTGGTATTAAAATATTTTACAAAATATAGTGTCCAGTTCTTTATTTAATACTAGCGGCCGCCCGCGACTTCGTACGCGTGGAGTTAGTTAGAAATAAAGGTTCACTGCTCGTTCCCCGTAGGTGATAGCGTGACAATATGTAGCATATATGTTGACCCGACTTCTTAATAATATTCGTGCCTAATTTTAAGTAAATCCATAAAGTACCTTTTGAGGTTATCCCGGACATACATACAGACAAACAGACAAAAATTTTGAAAACACATATTTTTGGCTTCGGTATCGATTGTAGATCACACCCCAAGTATTCTTTTAAAAAAATATTCAATGAACAGACTTTCCTACCATTTTATTATATGTATAGATGCGAGTACAAATAGTAAATCTGCACTCTACGCTTAGCACGAACGTGTACTTTTCCCCTTAGCACGAACCAATACCGAATTCGTAACGTTTGCGAATCCGAAATGTTATTTTCAAATGTGTACTGATTTTTAGTTCTCGTTGCGTAGTTTGTGGCACCGATGTTCAAGTTTCCATACGAAATTTGACATTGTCATTTCGCATTCGCAAACTAATCGAATTCGATAATAGTTCATGCCAGGGGTACTGTATCAAATAGTAAACTATACTTGTTTACGTTTTTTATTCATTAATGCGTAGCTTTAAAGTACGTAGAACTGTTTTAATAAATACAGTACCAACTGACAATGCTCTACCTTACATTACGTACTGTACCCACCCCCGAAGGATTCCCTTACGGTAACTAACTTTGAGTATATTTGTCGCAAAATTTACTTGGAACTCATTAAAAGTACCATAGCAACAACTTTACGAATATTTAACTCGGCGTCGAACATCGAATTTGTTTCATTTATTTTAATATAATATCACATTTCATTGTTTCTTTGTCTTGTTAACTAAGTAAGTATCTACTTACCTACTCATGTGTTTATCTTACTTTTTATAAATAAAGTAAATTAGTAAAAGGTTTAATACACATTATTCGTATTGTAGTGTTTGTTTTTAAACAGAGCGTGACACTGACACACGTAGGACAGCTGTTTTGTCTATGATAGCGAACCGCTTACGTCAGCGTAGCTGTCAAACTTCATTGATTGGGTTGGTAGCCATGAGGGAAGAGTCGATTTTCCTATTCGACTAAAATATTCGCCTTGAGACTTATAAAAAAAAAAAAAAAAAAAAAAAAAAGTAATCAGGCGGGGAATCTCTGTGGGGGCGCGTGGATGAATGGATGGAGTTTGACAGTTGTTGAATTTTGAATAGTCTTTCCCAGATCGATTTGAGTCCTCATTATCGGGTGCTGTTTTTAATCGATTTTGAATTTTACTCGAAATTGAATTTCCTCGCTGGTTTGGGTAGGTATTCCCTTTTCCTCAGCTTACGGCGAGCGTAGGTATATAGTTTTGAGTTTATTCTTCGGTTCGTCTCGAATGCGGCGGCTGTCTGTTTGACTGTGGCCTTTGCCTTCAGTTGAAGTGGGAAACAAATCATAGACACATGTTGGGGAGTAGACGATCCGTCTATCATCTATGAGCAATTGTCAAAACAACTTTTAAAACTTTCACAATCTGTTTGTGGTACAGTTAACTTTTCATCTTTTCTTCTGCCCAAAGTATAATAAACGGCATATTATTGTCGTCGAAGTCGTGAGATAGATCCGAAAAGTTTATATCCCGAAGGATATTGGCGGAAAAAGCGCGGAGTCGCTAACCGAACTGAGTTTCGTAGGTGGACGAACACGAACCTTCGCAAGGCGATTGCAACAATAAGGCGGTAACTTGTGATAGGAAACAAAATACTTACGGATAGTTTCATATTTCGAACGGCTTGTACGTTCCCCTCAAGAAATACTGGAGGACTAACAAGGAGACTTTTGTTCTGTGCACGGACCAGAAGGGGCGCGGGAGTTTATTTGCCAGCCGCTCTCCGGTTTTATGTAACCCGGCCGAACAGCAGACAGATTATACACAGCTTAACCTATCATAATCAAGGTATTTCTCTACTAACCCCGGGTGAACGTGAAAAGGAAACAACAGGCGAGGTTGGACCCCGACTTACCCATTTCCATATATTTACATATATCTATATAGCTGGTTATCTCACTGAGAACTAGAATTAACTAAGTTTGTCACCAATATCGATCAAACGAGCCGTAGAACCTCTGAAATCCACTCAATAGCTTATTCAGTCTAGTCTATGTGGTATTTGTGGATAAAATATATTAGTAAGGATTATATTGTAAGTACATGGTAAAGTGTTATGAATGTTTGATATTCATATAATTATAACCTTTCATGACAACTTGTTGGTTTATATACACATTAACTTTGAACTACTGTATTCAGCTTAGATATTTATAATTAGTGAAACATAGTTATTATATAAATAATAAACATAGTTAGACTTGTTGATTTATATAAGCAATAACTTAAATCTACTGAAGTCCTAGGCTTTGGTATCTAAAGTGGATAAAATATACTTATAACATTATCTTAATTTTTTGGTTTTCTTTTATTGTTCCCCCGGTGCTCTGAGTGGGCTAAAGGAGGGCTGTTGAAGAGAATTTAACATCACATGTGATGAGGGAAGAGTCCCTGTTCGGGCGCCACATGTGATGTTAAATTCTCTTCAACAGCCCTCCTTTAGCCCACTCAGAGCACCGGGGGAACAATAAAAGAAAACCAAAAAATTAAGATAATGTTATAAGTATATTTTATCCACTTTAGATACCAAAGCCTAGGACTTCAGTAGATTTAAGTTATTGCTTATATAAATCAACAAGTCTAACTATGTTTATTATTTATATAATAACTATGTTTCACTAATTATAAATATCTAAGCTGAATACAGTAGTTCAAAGTTAATGTGTATATAAACCAACAAGTTGTCATGAAAGGTTATAATTATATGAATATCAAACATTCATAACACTTTACCATGTACTTACAATATAATCCTTACTAATATATTTTATCCACAAATACCACATAGACTAGACTGAATAAGCTATTGAGTGGATTTCAGAGGTTCTACGGCTCGTTTGATCGATATTGGTGACAAACTTAGTTAATTCTAGTTCTCAGTGAGATAACCAGCTATATAGATATATGTAAATATATGGAAATGGGTAAGTCGGGGTCCAACCTCGCCTGTTGTTTCCTTTTCACGTTCACCCGGGGTTAGTAGAGAAATACCTTGATTATGATAGGTTAAGCTGTGTATAATCTGTCTGCTGTTCGGCCGGGTTACATAAAACCGGAGAGCGGCTGGCAAATAAACTCCCGCGCCCCTTCTGGTCCGTGCACAGAACAAAAGTCTCCTTGTTAGTCCTCCAGTATTTCTTGAGGGGAACGTACAAGCCGTTCGAAATATGAAACTATCCGTAAGTATTTTGTTTCCTATCACAAGTTACCGCCTTATTGTTGCAATCGCCTTGCGAAGGTTCGTGTTCGTCCACCTACGAAACTCAGTTCGGTTAGCGACTCCGCGCTTTTTCCGCCAATATCCTTCGGGATATAAACTTTTCGGATCTATCTCACGACTTCGACGACAATAATATGCCGTTTATTATACTTTGGGCAGAAGAAAAGATGAAAAGTTAACTGTACCACAAACAGATTGTGAAATTTTTAAAAGTTGTTTTGACAATTGCTCATAGATGATAGACGGATCGTCTACTCCCCAACATGTGTCTATGATTTGTTTCCCACTTCAACTGAAGGCAAAGGCCACAGTCAAACAGACAGCCGCCGCATTCGAGACGAACCGAAGAATAAACTCAAAACTATATACCTACGCTCGCCGTAAGCTGAGGAAAAGGGAATACCTACCCAAACCAGCGAGGAAATTCAATTTCGAGTAAAATTCAAAATCGATTAAAAACAGCACCCGATAATGAGGACTCAAATCGATCTGGGAAAGACTATTCAAAATTCAACAACTGTCAAACTCCATCCATTCATCCACGCGCCCCCACAGAGATTCCCCGCCTGATTACTTTTTTTTTTTTTTTTTATTATATCTATTTTCGGAGCAAAGATGCTTGCGGTACGGCCTTGAGTGGTATACACTTTGTGTTACTATTGTCATTTATTATTATCTATTTTTGTTACAACTTAGAGATTTATCAATGATTTATCGTTCTGTATGTTTATTTTTTCTTAACTTAGCGGTTTATAATATTCTATTATTTTATACAACATAACTTAATCATATCTTAACTAAAGTACATAAGACATGGGGATATACGAACGAGGGCGTTCGACGAATTCCCTACGTGAATTCTGCCGTGGGTGGGGGGATACTGTAGTGTTTGTTTTTAAACAGAGCGTGACACTGACACACGTAGGACAGCTGTTTTGTCTATGATAGCGAACCGCTTACGTCAGCGTAGCTGTCAAACTTCATTGATTGGGTTGGTAGCCTTGAGGGAAGAGTCGATTTTCCTATTCGACTAAAATATTCGCCTTGAGACTTATAAAAAAAAAAAAAAAAAAAAAAAAAAAGTAATCAGGCGGGGAATCTCTGTGGGGGCGCGTGGATGAATGGATGGAGTTTGACAGTTGTTGAATTTTGAATAGTCTTTCCCAGATCGATTTGAGTCCTCATTATCGGGTGCTGTTTTTAATCGATTTTGAATTTTACTCGAAATTGAAT